TACTATAAATAGCATTTATTAGCAATAGAGTAGTCTTTATTATAATAATTTATACATGTAAAATATCTATAAAAGCATTACTTTCTGATCTTTCAAGAAAGTTAAGTATCTTCATACATTTTATAGTGAATAAACTGAATGCAATGTTTAGTATCTTTATATACTATCTATTGTTGCCTCTGCCTTAAAATCCCAAATTACTTAGTATTTTGTTAAAGTCTTGTATAGACTTTTGTATAGAACCTATCAAGTTATAGTTATCATAATATAGTTGAGCAGCTTCTGATATTACTGTAGTTAAAGGAAAAACTACAGGTTAACAATGCAATATAAATAATAAAGATTAGAGATCTTATAACAAAAAATATTTAAATAAAGTTAATTAAAATAAAAAGTTACAGTAAATATATATAAAATAACAAAGTAATAGTTTGGTAAAAAAAATAATAATAAGTAAGAAGATAATATAGACTAAAAAAGTTAATTAAAAAGAAATAGAGTACTGTCTAGAATAGAAAAACAGATAAACTGATATATTAGCAAAACTGCTATATAAATTAGTAATAAATACAAAATTAAGAACAGAATACTGTATATACACAATAATGAAATAATAAATATATCAAAATAAATTAAAAAAAATATATCCATACTTGGCATATACAAGAGACAAAGAAATTTTTAAAAAAGAATCTAAAAAATAACTATTGCAAAAGCCTAAAAGAAGCTAAAGAAAAAAATTTCTTTATATATATTGTATATAATACTCTTTAACAAAATAAAGTAAAAAAAATAAAAATAAGAAATATACTAATTAAAAGTCTAATTTCAAAAAAAAAATAAACAGATTAACACAGTTCTTAAGTATAAAGTTAAAATAGAATACATTTTACAAACTGATATAGAGAATATGATATATAGTAAAAAGATTAATAAATAGAAAAAAAATTAAAAATAATAGTAGATTAAAAAAAAAAAGAAAAAAAAAAACCAAATAAAGAAAAAAAGATAAATTAGCAAAAAATAAAAGAAAGAAAAGATAAAATAAAAAAAATATAAATTGAGAAAGAAATTATAAAGAAAATTTTAAGACTTGTTATAAAAGAGGAAAGACTCTTTTATTATAAACTTTAAATAATCAGATAAGCAACTTACTTTGCTTAAAATAATACAACAAGTTGTACTTTTTTTTTTTTTTTTTTTTTGAAATGCCAAAGTAGAAACTTTATTAGGTAATAAAAGAATTACATTAAAGATTTCTAAACTACATTTGTGCTACTTGTTTTAAGACACCCAATCTGACATTACACTTCCATTTCTATATAACACTATTATTAATTATTTCAAATTAATTTTAAGTATAAAAAGGTTAGAGAAAACCTAAAGTGATAGTCTTGGCATTTAGTAAATACAGTTAATAAGTGAATAGCCTAAGAATAACCAGTTTTTAATAGATATAGTAGGGTCAATAGTAAATGTATTTGATGTATTAAGTGTTGATTGGAAGGTAGGAATTAGAGAATAGATTTTTTAATGTTTGGATTTGTTAGTTATATTGCGAGCTTTTCCCATTGTTGTTGAAGAATATTATGTGGTAGTCATATTTGTTGATAAAACCAATTAAGAGAGGCATTGGATAAAGTTGTAAGAAAGAGTAATGTTGTTTTATGAAGGAGTATTTTAATATTATCATATAGAGTTATAGAGTAGAGACCTTGAATAAGATTTAGAAAATAAAGATATAGTAATATATTAAGATAGTGAAATAATATAGTATGAATAGTATTTGTGAGCTCAGCAGAGATATTTAATTGTTGAATAGTATTTGTAGTTAAGCTATGAAAAATTTGTTGGAGATTGAAGTTTTGTTTAGAACAAGTTAATAGATGAGGTATATCTTTGATTAATTGACAATGAACACAATTTAGAGTTGTGTATAATAAGGGATAGTGAATATTATAATTTTACATAGTTGGTAAGTTGTTATTAATAATTTTTAGTCGAAATGAATAGAATTTTTGATTATTATTAAGTGAATTAATAATATTAAGATTGGTAGACTATTTAATAAAAAGTGGTTTTGAAAGTATTTAAGTTGTGACCAATCTTCACTAATTCTTAATAAATAATTAGCAAATTCTTTTTCCTCTTTATCTTGGCTTTGAAGTTTCATATTAATTGTTAATGCCAATATTTTAACATGTTTCTATAAATAAGAAGATTTAATATAGGCATTAACAATTTGTACTTATGTTTCTCAAAGTATAACAGGCAAAATTTGCCTAAAGTTACTATCAAATATAACAATTTTTCCTCCAAATGGTTCATTATTTTCTATTAGATCTTTGAGTATTCGATTAAGTGCTTCAAATACATATTTGTATGCCATTGGTCCTTCATCCCAAATAATAAGCTTACTACTTTGTATTAAATCAGCCAAATCAGACTATTTACTAATATTTAAAGTTGTAGTTTTAGTAATTTTTAAAGGAATTTTAAATCTGAAATGTGCAGTTTTTCTTCTAGTTAATAATAAAGCTGCAATTCCAATGAAGCAACAGCAAAAGCAATTCCAAAACTTCTTCTTGTTCGTGCCAATAGCATGTTGAATAAAAATGTTTTTTCTGTATCTCCAGGTCCATCAACAAAAAAGACTTTTTGTTTAGTTGTATTATTTCATTATTTGCATTATATTCATTTAAAGCTTTAATAATAGTATTATAAATTAATTTTTGATTAATATTCAAAAAATATTCTTTTTGTAATGTATGATTAATTTTATTTGAATCAAAATCAACTTCCTAATCCCATATACTATATTTTTTAGCATCTTCTACCAAACTATAATCAGGTTCAGGAAATGAGTAATTAGTTAAATTTTTTCATAATATGATAAATATTTTTCAATATCTATTAATGCTTTGGTAATGATTACTTAATATACATTTGCAGTTAATTCATTTTTTCCTGTAAGTCTTTTTTGTTTTCTTTCATAATCTTCAACTAAAAAATGTACATTTTCATAAAATAATTTTTTTGGATCCAATTCCTGTGGATCACAAAATAGTAAGATTGAAGCAAATAATTGTCGTAATTTTGATGGCATTTTAAAAGATGCAGCTTCCTTAATACATTTATTAAATCATTATTTTCTTCATCCAATAATCTAAGTTGGTGAACTGCATCTTCATATGTATTATAAAGTATTCTATTTACAGTTCAAATTGCTTTAAAATTAATAGCACCTTTGACTTGAGCTAATAATATTCACAAAAAGAATCTTTCTTTTTCATGTGGACTACATATATACATTCTAGAAATAATTTTTTCACTACCTCATTTTCTTTGTTTTCAGAATCATTATTCTAAACAAAAAATTTTGAAAAATCTATATATTGTAAATTCATTTTATCAGGATCATCTTGATTTGCATTACACATATCAAAATATCTTGTTAATTTTGTATTAAAAGATTTTGGCAACATAGTAGATATTTGTTCATTTTGATTAACAATAATAGATTGCTGTTCTTCTAAATAAACTGATAATCATTCAACTTTATATGATCTTTCTTGCAAGCCAAAATTAAATAATCTCCAACATGCTTCAATAGCAGAAACATATCTTGCATTTATATATTGCTTAATTTTATTTTTAGGATTTCCAATTTTAATAATAGCTTGATCAGATCCTTTATAAATATATTTGTAGAGATATTTTACTGATCGAATACTTGAGCATATCTCTACATTAATATGACAATTATATTTTTGACAAAGATATAGATTGTAAGGAACAATCCATCTATTATTAATAATATATTATTCTTTTTTAATTGTCCTTCCATCTCTTCTTCGGTAAATTGGATTTCCAAATTTATTAATTAATATTATTGTAGTAAACTCTTTATGATAATGTTTACTACATTTACCATTTTCTATACATTGTGAATTTGGATTCAAGTTTCCACAGAGGCCATGAACCATATTTTTGTTTACTGTTTTATAAAGCAGATATTGGAGATTTTTATTAAAAATTTCTGCACAAACTATTTTATCAAAATCTTTAAGTGTTTTTGGCTTATCTTCAGATGCTAATATTATAAGAATATATGCATATGGCAGTCCTCTTTTTTGAAATTCAATTGTATGAACATGTGCAATAACTCTTCTAAGTATACCATTTATAAATAAATCTTGTGTAATTACTTGAAGTTTTTGTTTAAAAACTCTAGCAACTATATCAGGTCTATTAAAAGTTTGTTGTTTTTTATTTTCAGATCTATTTTATAATTTATTGATTATTTCTGGCCATTTAAGATTACAAGTTACAGTAACAAATAAATCAGGTTTGCAATATTCTCTAACAATTACCATAGAATCTTGATATAGTTATTGCATATATTATTGAGATCCAGTAAAAGATGATGCTAAAATAACTTTTTTACTAATATTTTCTATAGTAGTATTATCAGAATCAATAATGTCCTATAGACCTGAATAAATTTCAGATCTAAATTGTAATTAATTTTTTCTATACTATTGTAAGTATTTAATTCTTATTTGACATACTGATCTACTAAATATTGTTAAAATAAACAGTCAAAAAGATGTAAAATGCTTTGTGTTTTGTTATAATTTTGAACTTGAATTCTATAAACAACAAATTCTTGAATTGTAACTCATTTTGCTTTTTGTTTTGATTAGTATACTTGAATTTGATCCAAATCTTCATCTCCTGATATAATTTTATTTTTATTTTCATTATCAATTTTAATTATTTTTTCATTATATCCAACTTCTGTTCTTTTTTTAACTGCAACTATTTCATTACTAACTTCAATTTCTGTTTTTTTTCTCTTAATATTAGATTCTGTACTCATACTTGAGACAAATCTAACTAATAAATTTTCAAATACTTCTGTTGCACCAGTACTTTCAGCAATACTTGTTGCTCGATAAATTGAAATTTGATTAAGATTAAATTTTTTATTATCAAATTCTTCAAATTCATCATCAGATTGTTCATTATCTGATATAATTATAATTTCATTAGCTCTTAAAATATTGTTATGCCATCCATATTCATCATAAGGAAATAATAAAGGATATTGTAATAGATTATAAGCACCATGTAGTTTGGAGATTTTTTGTAACTTTCCTATATGTGTTTTAAGTAAAATATCTCTTTTTTGAATTACAGTATTTTCATAATTTTCTAGAATAATTGCTGCAATTTTTGGTACTGTTGGTTGATTGTATTGTCTCATATTCTTTCTATGAGTACTATGAATTATTAATGTTAAATCAGGATAATTATCTGCTTCAAATCCTGTTTGATAAAATATATTAACAAATGGATTGATTTCATATAATTTATTTTGAATTGCTTAAATTATATTTTCATTTAATATTGGCATTAAATTCATTCATCTTGTTACTTGGTTATCCAAACTTGAATTATAAAAATAAATTTGTACAAAAGTTGGATCATATCTTCTTTCAATTTTTCTAAGTATTAAGGAACTAATTTTATGATATAAAGCTCTTTGTATTCTAAATGTATAAACATCTTCTTTTGCATTTGCTAATGTTTTATCAAGATTTACTTCTAAAAAAATAAATACAAATACTGAATTATATGCTCAAATTTGTTCTACAAATAATTTATTAATATTAAAATCATTTGTTGTTAGTAAATTATAAAGCATATTTGGAGTAGATACAAGTAATACAATTTTAACTTGACCATTCATACAACAAAATGAATTTGGTTCATTTTTCTATTTTAATGCATGACAATAATTACAAATTATATTCATTGTTTTAATTATTTGATGTTCAGCTTCAATATCATCACTTTAATCTTATTTTCATTATAATTTTTAAGTTTACATTGACTAATTTTATAAAATTATTCAATTTGTTGTTGTTAAATTGTTTGTATTTTTTTTTTTTGTTTTTTATTTATTTCAATTTTTTGTGCAGAAGTTTATGAAGCTCGATATTTTTGTGTTCTAAGTTTGCTTGATTGGATTTGTGATTCAGTAGAAGAACTTGCTTAAGATTCTTCTTGAATTAAATGTGGATTTAATTTATAATATTTATTAGTAGCATATCGAATATATGCTAATAAATTAGTTTTTTCATATAGTGTTTCATTTTCAGAATTTTTAAGAGCAGGATTAGTATCAAGAATATGTTGAGGAATAGGTTTTGTATTTTTAGAAGGCATTTTAAAATTTTAATAAAATTTTTAAAAAATTATTTAATAAAGTTTTTAAAAAAAAATTTTTTCATATTTATAAAATTTTTTATTTATTTATAATTAAGTCTGTAATATAGATTACATAATTATTATTATTATTATTATTAATTATTAATTAATAATAATTATTAATTAATAATCATTATTAATAATTATTATATAATCATTAATAATAATTATTATTAATAATTATTATTAATAATTATTTTTTTTTTTTTTTAATATTAACGGTGAGGCCATGCCTTTAACTTTATTGAAATTCAATTGAAGTTTTTACA